GTTATAATACAGAAGAAATTAATGTGATAAAAAAATGTGTTGCTTTTGTTGACAGAACTTGTCTTCATCAAAGCAAAACAATATCTGAACAAATTTATAGTGAACTTGAATCTAGACACTACATAGTAAACGGTTTTATTACTTATAAATTAGCGTCTAAATTAATTGATCGAAACGAAAAAATCTTACTAGAAACAGAAATTAATCATGGAATTGATCTTCAAAGTCGGCTTCATTCAATTATCCATGAAAGTATTGCAGATGACGTTGAGAGCATTTGGAAATTACCTGGATTGATTAGACAGTTGGTTCGACTTAGAGGGAAAAGTGAACAGTATCAGAGGAGTGCACTAAAAGACATACTCGATATGAACCTAGAAAAAATATAATTTCTATGTTTCTAATATTTCTCAATTCAGCTTAGAAACAGCTTAGTTAAATGATTTATCGAAGTAGACAATCACTTCAATTTTAAATTATTTCTTTTATCCTATACAAAACAAATCTTTTTTTTTTGAATATATGATTGATATATGAGAGTTTCAATCATATGAGTTATATTCTAATTTCATCGTGACAATTTTTACAGAAGTAGAATATGATTCATCATTCCTTGATAGTAGAAAACATGTTTCTACATGTTGTAGTACCACTCTAAGTTGTTTTCATTTTCATCAACAATTTACACTTATATTTTTGTTTTGTTTATTGTTTTTTTTTAATTATTTGCAATTTTCTTATAACCTATGGAAATGCATCTGTTTTTATTTCAATGTATTTTATTGAAAACTATTATTTATTTTTCTGTTCTCTTGTTGAATTCTTTCTTCACTAATCAAAAATCTTATATTAATTTTGCTATTTATTTATTTTGATTATATTACGATCTTTATCTGTTATTTAATGTGTACCACTTCCAAAACAAGCTATTTTTTCTAAAACATCAGTATAAACATCCTCAAGAAATACAAATAACTCGTCTTGCCCTCGTTTTCTGAATGAGACGTACGTAATGATAAAGTACGGGCTTTTCCTTCTTCGTTTTCTTTTGAACTTTTCTGTTGTACGAATGCTAAAATATAAAACCTTTGAAGTTCTTGAATAAATATGCTGTGTTCGTGAGTATTACCAAATTCTTCATCAACAAGCACAAGTAAATATCAATCTGAGTGTAGCTGTCGATATGAACCTATTGTAGTCTCTCGCTCGAACGTCTACAGTCACCCACATTCCACTTCCTCGAGTTCTCATTGTCCGCACTGAAATCATGTGTGTTGGAAAATTTTTCTTCACTTCTTTGTTATAAGACGGATGTGAATCAAATCTGAACAGTTACACCCATACCCACACTCCACCCTTGAAAGAAATTTTCTCTCTTTCTAAAAACTCGCTCTTATTTTCCCATTACTTATTTTATGATTTCCATTATAGCATAAGTTTGATTATTCAATAATATTTGGTACCTAGGTTTAATCATCGGCTTAAATTATGAATACATTTTGTATTGGATTTAAATCATCATCGCTACGACCAAAAGCGCTTCTAAGAGTCATTATTAAATGTATTGATTCAATGCATGCCTAATAATGATTCTTGAGCAAGATCGCAGACATACAGAATCTACCCGTGTGCGCTCACGCGCGTGAAGGGAAATTATTGGTTATAGAATTTTTTTTAATACAGGAAATTAGAGGAAACGTTTTTCTTTTGTGGGAACTATGGCGCAACGTTCTTAAGCAAATTGTGTGATTTGTTTGCCAATAGAGAAAAGTGCAAATGTTTTCTTTTGTTTCCGTTATCATTCAATACAAGTCTCTTTTAACATGCATATATGCTATATCACAATTTGTTTCACTTTCTTTTCACAACAATCGTTCATTGCAGCATGATCTTTAGACATTGAAGTCATGCTCCATTGGAATGCTCTTCCATTACATTTAGCTGATGCATTTCTTGAACATTCGTTAGAAGATTATTTCAAAAATAATATGGACAAAAACTGATTATTTTATAAGAAAAATGAGCAATATCAAGCATGGAAACTTGTATGTTCGAGTTCAGCTGTGCTAAGTCGTTTCCGAAATGAGCAAATTCCAAGGCTACCAGAATTACTCGATGAGTGATGAAACTCAATTGTTTTTTATATAAGGTTTGTTGAGATATGATAAATTTGTTTGTTTCTTGGTTTCTTTAAATATATATAAAGGGTGGACCAGAAGTGCTGACTGGGTTTGTATAATAAATTTTTCTAAAGTGAAACTTGTGGTTGTAAACTTGTCTCTATGATGAAAAGATGCAGCGAAAGACACTATACGAAATGACTATTGATTGACCCCGTTAGCTCATCTAGTACGAGAGTTATTGGGTTAGAAATGTGCTTCACCAAATGGAAAAATTAAGCGTAAGTTCAGTCTATATGGTGATGCTTTCTGTAAAAGCCCCTAACTTCATAAAAACAAAAGGTCCTTCGATCAGATTTGTTTCATTGTGATCAGTAACTATTGCTCTTCTCTACCTAGCTGCAGCATCAAGACGTTGATCACGTTTTCGGTTTCTTCCTGTACACACTGTCGAAAACGGAGTTGCAGATGTTTGAAACTTTGTCCTTGAGCATACTATCTGCCCTGAAAACATATCTTTTAAAGATCATGAAAATGAGCACATTTGAAAATACCAAACACAAACTGAGTTCCCACTTGTGTTATGCCTTTACAGAAATAATAGGAGAAGAAAAGTTCAAGTCGAAAGAAATCCCAAATTTTCCGCTCTTTTCGTTACGCATTTAATTTGTCTAGTTTTCTTGATTGAAGTTCTGAAACTAGAGTTTAGGAATGATTTTGTAGAGAATTTCACGGTGATTCTATTTCAAAGAGGATTTGTTTTAGGGAACCTAAGGAACAGAAGATAAAGCAAAACTACTGAGGGCGAGTTCACGGTTAACTTTTCCTTTTTGTGGAGCACATTTCCAAGCCTTTAACTTTCTTAGTAGATGAACTAGCGGCGTCAATCAATAGTAAGTTCGTGGAGCGTGTTTTCCTGCATCTTCTCCTTGTAGAGAAAAATTTACAATCACTTATTTTACTACCGAAACATCTATTATATAAATCGAGTCAGCACTTCTGATCCACCCTTTATATTGAAGAAAAGCAATTTCTTTTATCTTGACAGCGGGGAAATTTTTCATTTTAGCGACAGATTCTGCACCTCTGCAAGGCCGACACAATTTTCGTATAACTGCTTAAAATTTTTTATATAAATTCACATGCAACAATAGAGGAGAAGCATGCTTTAGGTCTTATTATAAAGAAATGTTATAATAGTATAATACAGACTAGAAAAAAAATAGATCATTTACTTCTGGTGACTTTCATGTTCAGTGAAAAGTTTAATAATTTCAATGACAATCTGAGGTGAATCTCTTTGAAGTAAATAATCAGCACCATAATCATAACTTCTATTGGTACATTCGATAGCATTACAGTTAGCATATTATTTTATATGTGGATCAGCTCCATATGCAAGAAGCAATTCGACAATCGAATAAACATGACGAAATATTGCAAGCATAAATCCTGCTCGACCATTGGAATCAATACATGCATTGATTTTTTATTTAAATCTACCACCTTTGTTTAATAAGCAAGCAATTGTATCTACGTTACTTTGTGTTGGACATGCCAATAGAAAGACTTCGTCAGTTAAAATATTCTCATCGATTTTTTCACCGAGTGCATATTGAAAAAGAACGAATGATGCAGATTATTTTGCAAGAAGACATACTAGTTCTGATATCTTATTACTTTGAGTTTATAGATTTAGTTCGTTTAAGAATCAAACGAACAATCTCATTACGACCATGTTAACATGAATAATCAAGTTCTGAATATCCATGTCGATCGATTAAATTAGCATTCCCTAGTCGACTCTCCCTAAAAGAATCCCCGAGAATTCTCCAGAAATTCAAGAGGGAATTTCAGGAAACTTCACAAGGAAGAGTCGCCTAGGGATTAAGTTTGTCTACATGATCAATAAGAAATTTAATCATGTCAACATTTTCTGTGTTACAAGCACAAAAATAAATGCCATTACGCCGTCGACTGTATGTTGACAATTCATATCGAGTCCTTGTCGAATATATCCAAGTACGAAATCTTTGGTACCATCTTTTATAGCACGACAGACATGAGTCTTACCATATTTATCTTCAGCATTATCATTTTCTTCTAATTGTAATTTAATATTCAAGTCCCTTTTCTGTTTTATGACTTGAAATGTTTACGATAGTTATACACGACTGTCATTATAGGTATTCAACATACAAGAAGGCATATATAAAGTACTTCAAGAATCGACAACATTTCAAAATCAAAGCACAAAATAGGCTTTCTTTGAACCATGTCAAGGAAAGTTTTTAAAAAACCTAAAAAGGGATCACTATTTTCAAATGACTCTGATTATTCATAAAAATGACTATTATGTCATCGAACGAAAGAAATGAAGAAAATTTGATTGAGCGACATCTTTAGTTAACTGTCAGATAAATTTTAAAGTAAAATAATGTCGCGAATAGAAAACGATAAAGTATAGTTGATGTTCTAAATTGAAAATTTTGTAGATATGAAATACAACTCATGTCAACTGATATATATTAAAATGGTAAAGTATTGTATCATGTCAAGAAAGATGGCGAACTATAATTGACCTTGAAAATAATGACATAGTGTTTGATAAACAATTAATTATGTGTGAATAATCGATCATTTTTCGTATTTTTCTTTATTTGAGAGCACATAAACACCAATATATATATAGAAGAAAAAAGTAGGATACTACACATAAAATAATGGCGTCAAATAAAGTAATACTTAATGTTGGTGGTGAAAAATATACAACAAGCATCGATACATTAACAGCAAGAGAACAAGGGACTTTCTTTACGGATCTCTTTGCACGTCAATGGCAACTTGAACGTGATCCTAAAGATGATAGTATTTTTATTGATCGCAATGGGAAACTTTTTGCACATATTCTCGAATATTTACGAACAGGTGTCATATCAAATAGTGTAAAAAGTGATGAATCACTCCGACAAAGTCTCGTTATCGAATCTGATTTTTATCGTTTACCAAAATTACAAAATTTATTAGCAAAACCAACATTTGCTGGTTCGACTTTATTAGAAAGTTATGAACATAAACAAAAATTAAATGAATTTTATGGTAACCCTGATCAACAATGGGAATTAATTTATAAAGCAACACGTGATGGATTTTCAACAGAGGCATTTCATAAAAAATGTGACAAAAAAGGATCTACTATGACTATTATCCAATCGGCTAAAAAATTTATTTTTGGAGGTTATACATCAGTTCCATGGAGTTCGGATTGTGGTCCTAAAAAAGATACGCAAGCATTCTTATTTACCTTGACTAATCCTCATAATATTCCACCTACAAAATATCCAATTAATCCTGCTAAAACACTCAATGCAGTTTATCACTTTTATGCACATGGGCCTAATTTTGGTGATAACGCTGATATATATGTGACTACTAACAGCAATAAAACTGATCAGTTTCCCAGAAGTTTTACAAAATTTCCGATCTCATATATGGATACAACTGGACAAGGTGACAAAACATTTACTGGAGAACGTGATTTTACTACATGCGACATCGAAGTATTCAAACTCGCTAATTAATAACAACAATATTTCTTTTATACACACACTGATCATTTTATTCGTTATATTCAACTAATTCATTTTCTTTTCTTAATATGAGGGTGTGGGTGCAGGTATGGTTAAAGACAATACACAGTCCAACAGCCTCATCCACCCACACCCTTGGTAAAAACAGGACTGATTTTAAAATCATAGTACTTTGTATTCATACGACTGTATTTTTCGCTCAGTTATGTATCATTGCATATTCTATTTAGTAGAACAGTTTTCATTTGCAAAAATGAATAAATGTATTTCATGATCATCAAACTATGTAACTCAGATACTAAATTCAACAATAAGTATAAAATTTTAAAACAAAGCAATTTTAGTCATCAAAATAAAAACAACAGAAACTAACGAAGATTCTACGATATTATCAAGATGAGTGTGAAAATGATGAAAGTACAAGTAAAACGTTAACAATACAAATGACTCAAAGAAGTGGAGAAAAAAAACAAGACATGTTATCGAGTTCTACACATTTACTGAATTCATCTCTGTATTTAAGAATAAATCATTAGAGAGATGCAGTGGCGTAGCCAGGAATTTTCTGAGGAGGGGGGGGGGGGGGCTGAACTTATTTCTCATCATAGTATCTATGATGTAGTGAGTGTAGAAAACGCTCATGCTATTCACAAAAAAGTCCTAGTGGACTTTACTCATCCTTCATCATAGATGATACGTCTTGTATCATGTTTTTATGGAATATTTCAATAGAAAATTTTCCACTGATAAGATTTACATTATTTCACAAAAAAGAAATTATCTGATATTTTATTGCAAGCAAAAGCAAATAGAATATACATGAGAGATAAATGGAGTTCGAGTGAGACTATTTGAACGCTAGTCAATGAGTTTGATGCGTCGGTTTTTTTTTCGCAAACTCATCGACAATCTTTTCTGCATCAAGTTTGTTTGTAATTGTTTTATGAATGCTGAGCAATGCCAATGAACTTAACCGATCATCACCCATGCTGCTTCGAAGGTAAGTTTTTACCAGCTTCAGTACTGAGAAAGAACGCTCAGCGTTCGCGATCGAAACAGGAAGAATTGCGTATATTTCCAAGAGTTTAATGATGTTTGGAAAGAACATAGACTGAGGTCCAAGGGTGTTGAGAACATCTGTGATGATAGTCGGCGGATTGGTGCTATTGGTTCGCCAATATTGTTGCCACATGTGAAATTCTGCCTCGAGTACCTGCATGTCGTTAGTTGGTAAATCATTTAAATAGAGTTCAAATGAATCTTTGATTGCGGTGAAATCGATTTTGACAACCTAGATTATAACAATCTTAGTCCTAATTTGTTAAAGAGAGCAGATACATCGAAAATACTTTCTTCCTCCAACTCTACGATAAGAAAATCAACTTTTTTTCAATTCACAACCGAATTCTTTATACTTCTCACGGAATAAAATCTGTACTAAAGAAACAACATTTCTGTTACCTCGACTGGAAGTAATAAGCACAACCTGATGGCGATCATTTGATGACTTGAAAAGCGAGTACCAAGCTCGTTGAGGATGTTGGAAAGCAACGTGTCGAAGGCATTGTCGAAGATCTCTCGACACGTCTTATTCATTTGGCGACGACGCACACGAGGTGTTGATGAAATATTGTGTCCGGCGAGAAATGTAGTGAGATCGACGAAAAGCTTATCTTGAATTGAAGTATCATATTGTAGTTCACTGAAGTAAATTGCAAGTTGCTCGACACCCTTGTAACACGAAGCCAAGTCGATTGAAGGGGCTTGAAGTTGTTCGGAATAAGGTTTCGTGAAGGCAAATATATGAGCAACAATGATCAGTACAATAGCGAATTCGACATCGATAATCAAGAGAAGATAGGCTCGAGCATCAGCACGCGTGTTGCTATCGCCTGTGTCTTCAAGATGCTCGAGAGAAGCAACGATAGCACCGAATAGCTGCCGAAAAACAAGCACTGATGTGTGCTTTTCGACCCATCGAGTGTCACAGAGTTTTAGAAGTGTTCGTCGACGGATTTCATCCCAGGTTGTTGCCTCCACTGCTGCCTAATATAAAGAAAAATAGTTCTTTGATACTAAGCTGAGACCATGCTGTCTCATTGGCAACTATGATCTTTTTATCCATATTCAACATTTTAAATAAAACTTGCAAAGAATGTAAATCTTACTAATTCTATTTAACAGTATGCATAAATTTGCATGGCTCTTTTTGATTCCTCTCGTTCTAACCACTCACCAAGTTGTCTCAGTACATTCACCTTCATCGATTATATACCACCTAACTCAACGAAGAGATCCATTATGCCAATAAACTCATGAAAAGAAGAGATTTCCAAGAAAAAAAAGCTTGGTCCTGAAAGGGTTAAACAGTTTTCCATTGAGCAGCCTAAAAACTACTTGTTTTTTTATCAAAAATTATTTTTGATTCCGACAGCTAAGAAGGGAATCATTTACGTAGTTAAAATAATCAGATCTGAATAATTTCTTTACATATTTTGTCCAATGTGTGATAATTTACAAGATATTTCTCCTTGAACTGTTCATGCCAATTTCATTACGTTCCGATAATTATTTAAAATTACTACAGACATTCCGTATTATTTTTTAGTTCAAACCAGCTCTTCCAAAATTCCTTCTTTTGAAAGCTAATTCGAGATAATTTCATATACTTGTATTTTACTTTTGTAAACTAGTACTATGAAATAGTTCACGTTTATTTGAAATATATATTATATCATTTCAACATTCATCTAATATTGATTTGACGATATTGTTTAGTAGCTAGCTTGCAATACAAAGATATTTATTTTTCATAGTAGCTAATATCTTATTTTTTTAGAAGTCTATCAGGCTTTCTCCTGTACAGTGACATTTAGGAAACGTGGCGGTAAGGTTGAGATCATGTTTTTCGAAATTTTTATGTGATAATTAATTTATATCAATTATGCAATAGTATTTTAATGAAATTATTCTCATTAGCTAGCCATTCATTTCAAATTTTCTCATGTTATTTATACTAATCAAAATGTGAATTATATATTATCGAAAATCGTCGTTCCCTATCAAATATTAAATAAAAATCCTGGCATGAAACAAAATTTTCCGTGAGAAAACGTAAAATTTTGTTGAAAAATATTTTTCAATACTAAAGATTTAGAATCACGTATTTCAGTGCTTTTTTGTTTAAATTACCGCTAGAATAAGCATGCTTTCGTGCAGTCTTTATT